GGGAGCGGGGCTTTTTTTCTTTTTTGAAGGAGGGAAGCGGAAATCGTGACACTGCGGAAACGTGAAAAAAAAGTTTCAGCATCCCCAAATCCGGGGGGTGTGTGTTAGGGGACCGCCCTCCCGGGCACCGATGGGGCTCGCAGTACTCCTTTATCTGCCCGCTGCGCTGCGCTGCTCGGGGGGGAGGGGGCTGGGGTTATTTTCATATATTTTGAACATGAAAATAAAATAAATAATAAAAAAAACCCAAACCGAAAATCCAGAGATCAAACCGCCTCGGCAATAAATCCCGGAGGCCGATCTATGGCATGGGGAGCGCCCCGGAGGGGGGAAAAAATCTCTTCCCAAAGGTGGTCACTGCTATGTTACAGTTTTACTTTAAGTACACTTAATAAATAGCGTTAAATAATGCACTTGGGCCCATTTTTATTTTCTTTTTATTACAGAAAGGCAGCAATCATGAAGTTAATTTTCATACAGGTAAAAAATGGAATTCAGTTTAGAAAAACGGGACAATCCCCTGTGAAGCTTATACTGGTGAAACTGCAATGCTGAAACTACAGTTGTAGAGAAAACTGAGGAACGACACTTGCAAAAATATACATAAATGCACAGGAAATTCAAAGGTGAACACATGAAAATAGAAATTCTTTAAAAGAGAAGAGAAAAACAGCCATCAATGGGTAAATCGTTCTTCTCCTAAAATGGCAATCTTATTTTGCGGGAGTAGTCCTTCCTCTTGGTCCACCAAAGCTAATCTTCCGGAAAAGAAGAACCGCGTCGACAACACAGAGAACGAGCAACACAAGACCAAACACCTATAAAAATAACGATAATATTAACTTCCCACAGAATCTGTCTTTTACTGCAGTGACCCATCCACCATTCCTCAAAGCAGCAGTAAACGCATCTTCTTAACTTGCTTCTGGCCTTCTAAATATATGCGCACTGTGAGACAGCTGATTAATTAAATAACATGCATATTTAAATCCCATCAGCCTTTCCGACAGCAGTCTACACCCTGGCTTTGTTTGATGTTTGTGTGAAGCCTTGGAGCTGATGTGTTCTCCTTGAAAGCTAAGCTAATGCTGCATTATGCCAGACAATGCTTTTATCCTAAATGACAGCCCTTCTGTCTCGTTAAGGACTGCCTAATTAATGGTATTGGCCTGGAGAAAAGTCAACATTTGTAGAAACAAGCCTATCAGGAAAAAAAAAATAGTGCTCCTCTTCTCTGAAGCTCTGAACAGGAAACATATTCCAAGATGAAGAAAATGCGTGTAAGTATTTAAAAAATATACAACTTCAGGCAGGCAACTGGAAAACCGTGTTTGCCAAATGGCTGCTGAAGGGACTTGCTCAGCTCCTGCCCTTCAGCCCAACCCACATGCACGCAATTTTTTTGATGTGTGTTTTAAAATGGAATGGTCTGATCGGTGGGAGTAATGCTTGGGCAAGCGCTTTTGGGAGTGCGGAGATCCAGGCAGTTTGTGCCCCAGGAGTACAGGACAGGCCCCGTGGCAATTTTCTTTCTCCCCACGCTGAAGATGTCATATGTTCTGCCCAAACTTGTTTTTCCAAGCTACCTGCTTAGTCTCTTGCGTCCAACCTAACTTTAATTTCTGATAACCTCACAGCTGAGAATATAAATTACACTCTACCATAGCCAGTCACTTTATCAGAAAGTCTCCTTTTAGCTCAGGATGTCACCGCCAGTGAAGACGTCAGCTTTGTGCCTCCTCGTCACTTAAGCTGATCTTGAAAAACTCATGTGGCAAGTTCCATGTTTCTTTTGGTTGCTTGTCACTTTTTAGCTTGTCTTGTACTTCAGGAAACTTAAATACTTTCAAAACTGAGTTTTTTTACCCCTTGCTGTTCATTAATGTTAATTAGTTTTCATTTGAATTAAAAATACCAGTTGCTTAAACTATTAAACTGGTTAGATCTTAAGTACACAAAAATCTTACAATCATAGGATGAAAGAACCTTTTGAACTACCATAATTTCTCGGTTTGTGTCAGAAAAAAATAACATACACATCAGGAGGGAGGTACCAGCATGTCCATTAAAAAGATTCAACTCTTTTTAGCAGGACTGCAGGCATTTCTTCTTAAATAGTGTAACCAAACTGGATAGTCTTAGAAGAGCTATGGATTCTCCCACCTAGAATTTCAAGCTCGGGAAGAAAATGCAGGTTACTCAAATTTATTAAACTCTACGAGTTTTCAGTGTCAGCACAAAGATGCTGGGAGGGCTGGAGCCCCTCTGCTGGGAGGACAGGCTGGGAGAGTTGGGGGGGTTCAGCCTGGAGCAGAGAAGGCTCCGGGGAGACCTCAGAGCCCCTTCCAGTGCCTAAAGGGGCTCCAGGAGAGCTGGGGAGGGACTCTTCGTCAGGGAGGGGAGCCATAGGATAAGGGGGAATGGTTTTAAACTGGAAGAGGGGAGATTTGGATTAGATATTAGGAAGAAATTCTTGGCTGTGCGGGTGGTGATCCCCTGGGGCAGGTTGCCCCGAGAAGCTGTGGCTGCCCCATCCCTGGAGGTGTTCAAGGCCAGGTTGGACGGGGCTTGGAGCAACCTGGGCTGGGGGGAGGTGGCCCTGCCCAGGGCAGGGGGTGGCACTGGGTGATCTTCAAGGTCCCTTCTAACCCAAACCATTCTGTGATTTGACTTCTCTGTAGTAATTCCTAAGCCTAGTAATATCTTTCAATTAGTTGTCATTTGAGGATTATTTTTTTTTTAGTGAGATAAAAGTGAATGCGTATTCACATTTGTTCACGACTTCTGCGTATGTTCTTCCATGGTCTTACCACAATGTAAGGGCACCACGAGGATCACATCATGCCTACCGTAAGAACTGAAATTGGTTAACCATCTTCCTACTTACTCCTCCTGCCAGTGTCCCATTGTTGGTCTTGACTATTACCGCAAACAGGCACACGACGAGGAGGAACAACGCCGCCACCACCGAGTTGAAAACATCCTGGAACAGGCCATGGAAGCAGAGTGTTTATTCTGAAATACGCACCCGGAGAAGAACGTGAATAGCTCCCAATATTGTATGGATCATTAAAAAGTTGCTGCTTTGCTATGAAAGTAGAAATATAGTAATATCTATGCAAGGGCGACAGTGACACCCAGCGGTGCCATGCTGAAAAGAGCGTCTGTGATAGAACTTCCTCATTTGCAGTTAGATTTACACAACTTGGCCACTAAAGCAGCAAAATTTAGAAAAGGGAGGCAGGAGGAGAACCCGTTAACACCTCAGTGCAAGCGTACGTTTAGTTGATGTTAAAGCCGAGAAGCGCAGTATCACCTGCCCAGGGCAGGGGGGTGGAACTCGGCGATCTTCAAGGTCCCTTCCAACCTAAACCCTTCTGCGACCCTACGATTACCGAGTTAAGCAGACGGAGGGGCCGTTAACGGATGTCATGGAGAAAGCGGTGCAAAAGAACATCTCCGCGAGAAAGAAACCGGCGCAAACGCTGCGTTTGCCGTTAAC